AGTCTTGTCATTCATTCACAGATCCATTCATAGGTATCTGTAGATGAAATACTACAAGTCCCATCTTCCACTGCTGCAGAGTGACTTATAGATATTTTTGGCAGGGGCATTTTTTGACTGCAAAAAAAAAACCCCAGGACTAGTGGGTTTCTAGAGGTTTTTTTTTACCCTTAAAAAGGGTCTAACACTGAAAAACACGGTAAATCGCAGCACACTGGCGTTTGTGGACTTTCTTTGATCCAAAAAAAATTATTTTTTTGGTAAAAAAAAAAACGCTTAAAAAACACAAATGCTAAAAAAAACCCAGCAAAAACGCAGCTAAAATCTAATGAAGAAACGCAGAAAAACTCATGATATTTAAATATCAAAAGTGCCAATCACCAATTTTAATAAATTGCAAGCAAAAGCACAGAGAACACGAGTATTTTTAAAGCTGAAATTTAACTAAAAACATTTTTTTCTCTACAGCTTTAGTTACATTACTTACCTGTAACAAAGTATGTACTGCAATGTGCGGGCTGCAGGATTCTGTAGAAATCTTCGCTGCAGGGCTGCCCTGTCCTCTTCCTCCTCTTGAACTTCCAGCACTGTGGGGGTTAACAGCTTCGAGTCTCTTGGCTCAGCTGCACTAAAGATGATCTGACAGGAGCTTGCCGCCTCCTGCCATTTTCTCCATTGAGAAAAATCCTTTCACTGATTACACTGCCTGTTAAACTGTCTCTGAATGGGGGGGAGCATCCTGTGACCGATCAAACTCTCCCCATTCACAGATCATTTTTCAAGCAGTGTAATCAGTAAAAAAAGATTTTCTCAAGGGAGCAAGAGGAAGTAGGAAGAAGGGGGTGTGTCTCCATTGGATCATCCTTAGGGCAGCTGAGCCCAGAGACCTGAAGCTGTTCACCCCTACAGTGCCAAGCAGCAGGAAGAGGACAGGGCAGCCCTGCAGCGAAGATTTCTACAGAAACCAGCAGCCTGCACATCATGGGACATCATTCATTACAAGTAATGTAAGTTCATCATTCATTACAAGTAATGTTTAACCTAAATTTCAGCTTCCGTGCAGAATTTTTCCCTTCTTTAAACTATTCTTATTCACTTGCCATGTGCCCTTGAACATGTTAGAAAATCTGACTACCCCAGATAGAGCCCTAGAACAGCCCTTTCCTTCTTGCAAGTCATAGTCCTCTCCTCTTCAGGAAGTGTTTAATTTTTGTATGTGCTGACCCAGCCCCTATTCTCCTCAGTACATAACTTTTTTGTAGCAGGAAGGGGAGGAGCAAAGGAAATTACTATAGAGCATCACTTGTGTATTTGCATTTCAGCCCCTTAACCAATGTTTACATTTTACACCCACTACAGCCCTGGTGCCCAACCTGAGACCTGAGGGTTACATGCGGGCCTTTGGTACTTGTTATGTGGCCCTCAAATCCCATCAGTCTGTAGTGAGAAGGTTTGTAAAGTGGTAATAAGTCCCAGGTCTCCCACAGACGTCTGCCAAATCTGTATGTCAACGGTCTCTATTACTTCCTCTAGTATGTCGGAGTCTCTGACTGTCTTTTTTAGCATTACACAATGAACATTATGTTCTGCCCTTTGATAATGTTGAATTTTAGGCACCCATGCCTCATAGGCTGATAACCACTATACCAGGGGTTCATTGTTTGTCTTGCACCAAGTCATGATTTCAGACATTTCCTAATTTTTAGCCTACATTTAAAGCAGAACTCCAGGAATCGCTAACCTTTTTAAATTTTGACACTTTAATTCAAGCCAGATATATCTTGCTTTACTGTATTTTTGAATAGTTCACAGAATACAGGCAGTTGAGTGAATGGATGAGGGAAGAGGCAGTGCAAATGAATGACTGTACAGCTTCTGTGTATGAGAGACACAGGGTCCAAAGCACAGAAACAACTGTACTATCCGGCATTATTGAAAGTTTAAAAAATAAAGAAAGGTCAGGAATGCTGTAAGTGGCATATTCCTTATGAGAGTTACCTTCTCTTTTTTTTTACAGCAGACTTTAATTAAAAAAGTTTGTGTGACGTAATGATTAAAATGTTAAATGTCAATTAGAATGGACCTAGTATCAGAAGTACATACATGATCAGTATAATCGAAAATAACCTACAGGTATTTCTTACATCTCACAAAGATCACAGTATTCCCCCTGCCTTTGCTTTCAATTGCTAATCTTACAAGAAGGATGGAGCTCTTTGTTCAGGCATCATCCATAGTTAATATCTACTTCCTAGAATGAGATGCTGGCTCAAAGATGACACAATCATAAAAAATCCTGATGTCTGTGTTGGCTCTGTTCAAAAATATCTGACACTGATCAGCCCTAATTGCAGACTCTCAGCTTGCAACCTGCTACAAAGTTTTAAAAGAGAAGTGCAGAACAAACAAACATCCATACTCACCTATGTGAATTGATGTTGTAGCTGTCCCTCACCAGCTCTAAGCCAGAGAACTGTGCAATCACATGAGCACTGATCACTCAGTTCTCAGTCTTCATGGAGCAGACAGCAGTGACTGTCAGTTACTGGCTCTCTGTTCTGCCCCTCCAGTGCTCACTGGAGAACTGTGCTGTGGAGGAGGCACAAGTGGCTGGTTCAGTGCTCTCAGTGGCGCTCTGAAAGGCTGAGTCTATTACCTGTCAGGCTTCTGATTGGATCCTGACGTTATTATCGGGATCCCTGCAGAGCCTGGACCAGCTCTGTGATGTCAGCTGAATCTGGATCACAGGAGTGCCTAAATAAATGCATTCCTGTGACCCGCATGAGAAGTATGACCAAAAAAGTTTTGGCCATACTTCTCCTTTAAAGTGATTGTAAAGCCTAACCATTTTTTTACCTTAATGCAGTGCCTGAATTAAGGTAAAATATGTTTCAGGATGTGTATCACCCCCTTAGGCTTATGAGCCCAATCTTGATCCAGCACTGTGCCTGTCTGTTGCGGCTTTCTCCTCTTCTCCCTGCTTTCACAGGCTTTGCTAAGTGGGAGCCATTGGCTTCCGATGCTGTCAGTCAAATTCTGTGACTGATGGAGCAGTGGATGGGGCTGAGCCTCACTGTCTGTTTTTTTATACACAGGCAGCACAGCTCTGAGGTGAGCCTGCAGGTATGTCACAATACGAAGCAGCTTACTATGGTGGTACACCAAGATAAGGAGGAACCAGGAGCGCTGTTGGGGGATCCCAGTAAAGGAGAATTAGGGATTCTCTATGCAATACCATTACACAGAGCAGGTAATATAACCATATATTAAAAGAAAACAAATGACTTAACAAACGTTTTAATGTTGCAGTCTGACAATTGGGGAAGGCTGCTTTTTGGAATAAAAAGTACAGATTTTCTAAAAATGATTCAGTTATTGTAAATTGTGATATGGCAGGAATGTACTCAAGCAGACTTGTACAAAATTGAGAATAATACAATATACATACATACATACTACGCTATACACAAATATTAGACCCTTTCACACGGGAGTTCCATCACACTTTTTGACCCATGATTACACAGATCAAAATCAGATTACTATGCATCTCTACAGGTGGCTGCATGTCAAAGAATGTGTGCTTGTTTACATCCAGGTTTGTTGGACCGAATGCAATAAATGTGCGTCCAAGTCTGCAAAAGCAGATATAAACAGATGGGAGGGAGGGTGTACTGTCAGTCACAGGGGCATTCCCTTAGTCTGAATCATTTTTAATACTTTTTTTTTTTTTTTTTTTTTTGTAATTCCGTTCATTTGTACAAATGAAAAGTACATACAGGCAAAAACAAGCCATCAACATGAAAAATAATATCTGGCAGTTTCACACAAAAATGCCATATTGTACAGAACTTTAGAAAAAAGAAAAGGTATCAAGCCAGTAACAATAAGTGTAGGGATATGAGAAAAGCTCATAATTGAGAGAACAAATTATGACATATTGAGGATCAAAGGTGTGGTAGTAAACTGTGTAAGCATCTTAAAAGTGTAGAAGGCCGAGCATACAATTAGGCAAATTAAGAGTTTCACATCAGTTGGTATCTTTAAAACAGCATGGGCAAATTGGCCGGCCCACTATACTAGACTATCCGGTATGCAGTTATGGGGTTGGGCAAGGCGCCCACAGAATCTTAGCCTGGCTTTAACTTGTGATTTAGACAGATCAAAATGCACTGAAATGTATCCCAATGTTCGGCGGGATATAAATGGATCTGTTCACATCCAGGCTCTTCAGATTCAAAAGACCAAATACAATAACTTTGCATCCAGGTCTGCAAAAGTGGATGTAAAGAGATATAAGTGGATCCACAGCCATTTACATCCAGACAACCATAAGGAGTAAATGGGTTTTTTCCTCCACCACAGAACATATGTGGTCAATTTCTGTTCTGATCCAACACAGTAGGGGATCAGTCTAGCATTCCCAATGGAGAATGAACAGACGGCGCTCATGTGCAAGAGACGTAAAAGCATTTTGTCATATGGTATTATCTGAGAAGAGAGTAGCAGGCAAGCTGAACTCTAGTCGTCCTCCTTTAACATAGATCACATGATGAAATGCCTAGGCATTTTGCCTGTGTGAGCATCACTGGAGGAAATATGGAGCAGCATTTTCTTTATGAAAAGTAAGTATTTCACTTTACATGAATATATAGCTAAACTATATTTGTAGGTTTGTACATTTGTCTGGAATTTTTCTACATGTATTCAAGCTTTAACAGAGGAGGAATACCAGAAACTTTTCCAGTAAAGCATCATTGAGTGCTGTCATATGCCACAGAGGAGAACATTTCACATTCACAGTCTCTGGAGTCTTAGGTAAACACTGGATGGAATTTATGTATGTACATGAATGTGAGCAGCACTGAGCAGAAACGTGCCTACTGAAACATGACATTTGTGTACTTTTATACCAGAAAACATAAAGATGAGCAAAAGCAGAATCTAGGAAAATAATTGAAGCATTGATATAACATATCCTGTTCTTTCTTCCATTACAGTGCAGTTTGACATGATGAGGGCCTGTAATCTGATTGCCACAGTTGCCCTGACTGCCGGACAGCTCATCTTCCTCTTGGGACTTGTGGAACTGCCCATTATTACCCAGGATTCCCAGTGGTGGGAAGAAGCCATCGCTGCTGTATTTCAACTTGCAAGTAAGTACATCTGCTACTAATAACTAATACATAAACAGGCCAAATGTTTGTTTTTTTATGCAACTGCTTGGAAACACATAATTCTACAAAATACAGGAAAATACCTTATACAACAATGTGAAGCACATGCACACTCCTGGGGCTGTACAACAAGAAATTCGGGTGTATTTTCTCACCGGGGAGCCACAGGTGTTGCATACAACCGCCCATAGAAATTAATACCTGTATACAGGTATACACTGGAACTTGCATTCACACATGTGTACGTACTCCCCTGGATGCAGACAGTCTGCGTCCAGGATCATACATTCATATGCATGCGTGTGTTTAATCAAGAAACTTATATACCATATACAGCCACTGATTTCTGTAGGAGGCTGTATGGAGCACCTCTGACTTCTGGGAGGGGAAATATGCCCAAAAGGTAAGTTGTACTGCCCTGCATGCCCCTGTGCATGAAGGCAAAGTTTAACAACACTCAAAAGAATAGATGCCCCTCCTGTTCCTGCACTGCATCCAATATTTTATCATTGTCTTTTTAAGTAAGTGAATAGTATGAATTCAAGAATCCACAAGAAGGGCAGCAAGGTAGAAGCTGGCAATTATAGGCTAGTGAGTTTAATCTCAGTTGTAGTCAAGTTAATGGAATCACTCCTGAAAAGAAGGATCATTGATTGCTTAAAAACACACAACTTACTGGATCCAAAGCAGCATGGCTTTACTGAGGGCAGATCATGTCAGACTAATCTGATTGAACTTTGACTATATTACCAATGTTTTGGACCAGGGTGGTGGTGTGGACATAGCATATCTTGATTTCAGCAAGGCATTTGATGAAGTTCTACATAGTGATCTAATGCAAAAGTTGTATAAGCTAGGACCTAACCCTTGGGTGGTTCAGTAGATAGTTGGCTAAAAGATAGATGCTAGAGGGTGGTTGTAAATGAGGTCCTGTTCTATGTCATCTATATGTAAGTAATGTAACTAAAGTTATTTTTGGCAAAGTATGTCTTTTTGCTGATGATATAAAGGCGTGTAATAGAGTTGATATCTATGTAAGTGTCTGTAACATGGAATATGATTTACCATTGCTGGAAGACTGGTCAAAGCAGTGGAAAATTCAGTTCAATGTTTCTAAATGTAAACAAATGCACATAGGGAAAAATAATCCTTTGAGAGAGTACAATGTTGGGATTACAGTATTGGCCAGCACTACAGAGGAAAAAGATTTGGGGGTACTTTTTTCAGATGACTTCAAAATGAGCCAGGCAGTGGAAAAAGAGAATAGAATTCTAGGATGCATCACTAGAGGTGTCACCAGCAGGAGGGAGGAGGTCCTGATTCCCCTATATAGCTTTCTAGTGAGAGTATTCATTTAGAATACCGTGTCCAGTTCTGGAGACCTCACTTACAAAAAGATATTGATAAGACAGAACGGGTATAGAGACGGGTAACAAAAATGGTGAAAGGTCTGAGGGATAAAACATGTACAGTCTGGAGGAAAGAAGGAGAAAGGGGAGACATGATTGAAACTTTTAAATACATCAAGGAGGTGATTAAGGTTCAGGAGGGCAAGATTTTCAATATGATACCAAAATCAAGGACATGACTTTAAACTAACTGGAAGAAAGTTCAAAACTAATCTTAGAAAGTATAATTTTACTGAAAGGTTGATGTTTGGAAAAGACTTCCAACAGAGGTAGTAAGTCAGTCAACAGTAAGTGGATTGAAACATACTTAGGACAGACATAGATCTATGCTCACACAAAAAAAAAAAAACAGGCAGAATCGATGGACCACTTGGTCTTTTTTCTGTTGTCACTTTTCTATGTTTCTAAGTGATGTATGCGTGTGTTGTGAGAAGCGCTTGGTACAGATAGAAGTCAGTAAATTTTTATTGCCTTTACTGGTTATAATCTGGGTTGAAGAGGCTCTATGGTGTGTCAAAATCAGGTCCAGCTGTACCTCATTTAAACAAACCGTATGATCTTCTAATACCCAGATGCCAGTCTTCATTAGGCACACAGCACAATGAAGTAAAAAGATATATTTCCAAAAGCTTTGAGGAAGAAGGGAGCCCAAATTCCCCCAAACATGTTGTCTGTACCCTACCATAATAACCAAAGGCATTAAACAAGTCAGCCATTTATACCTGGCTGTGATCAGAAGTGAGGTCTTAGAAGGACTGCCTGGTGGACAACATTTTCTGGTGACCAGGCTGGAAATGCATGTACACAGCTTGCTATATAGCAGAGGATACACAAAAACATCAAGAACAGAAAACTGTATCCAGGATCACTGACTAACAGGTCGCTGCCTGTTTCTGGGTTTTCGGAACACTTGCATGCCCCTGCCCACCTACTCCTGCTGTGATTGTACACAGCGGGAGCCTGTCAGCAAGTCCTGGCCAATAATTCATGTCCAGGACCCACTGATCAGCTGTATACAATCACAGCCCAGAGCTCTGTGTTGACAATCAACACAGAGCTCTGTACAGAGGGAATGATCTCCCCGTTTCTCATCCCTGCAAAGCAGAGATAAGATACTAAGAGATGTAATAATAAAAAGCAGCACACTTTACACATATTAGACATAGTTAGGCACACATTTAACCCCTTGATCACCCTAGATGTTAATCTCTTCCTAGCCAGTGTCATTAGTACAGTGACCGTGTATAGTATTATCACTGATCACTGTATTAATGTCACTGGTGATGTCAGAGGCAATAGTCAGTTCCCCCCAGCATCAGTTAGAGTCAGACTTCCCGCATACTATCGCAGTTCCATTACAAGTCGCTGATCATCATCAGTAGTATGAAAAGAAAATTCCAGAATATACACTATATTGCCAAAAGTATAGGGAAGTCGGCCTTTACATGCACATGACCTTTAATGGCATCCCAGTCTTAGTCTGTAGTGTTCACTATTGAGTTGGCTCACCCTTTGCAACTATAACAGCTTCAACTCTTCTGGGAAGGCTTTCCACAAGGTTTAGGAGGGTGTCTATGGGAATGTTTGACCATTCTTCCAGAAGCGCATTTGTGAGGTCAGGCACTGATGTCGGACGAGAAGGCCTGGATCATAGTATCTGCTCTAAGTCATCCCAAAGTTGTTTTATTGGGTTGAGGTCAGGACTCTGTGCAGGCTAGTCAAGTTCCTCCACCCCAAACTCACTCATTATGTCTTTATGGACCTTGCTTTGTGCACTGGAGCAAAGTCATGTTGGAACACGAAAGGGGCCATCCCCAAACTGTTCCCACAAAGTTGGGAGCATGAAATGTCTTTGTATGCTGACACCTTAATAGTTCCCTTCACTGGAACTAGGGGGCCAAGCCCAACCCCTGAAAAACAACCCCACACCATTATCCCTCTCCACCAAACTTTACACTTGGCACAATGCAGTCTTGCAAGTATCATTGTCCCGGCAACTGCCAAACCCAGACACGTCCATCAGATTGCCAGAGAAGCGTGATTCATCATTCCAGAGAAACACGTCTCCACTGCTCTAGAGTCGAGTGGCGGCATGCTTTACACCACTGCATCCAACGCTTTGCATTGCACTTGGTGATGTAAGGCTTAGATGCAGCTGCTTGGCCATGCAAACCCATTCCATTACGCCCTCTATGCACTGTTGTTGTGCTAATCTGAAGGGCATACAAAGTTTTGGAGTCTTTAGCTATTGACTCTGCAGACAGTTGGCAACTTCTGCGTACTGTGCGCTTCACCCACTCTGTCATTTTACATGGCCTACCACTTCATGGCTGAGTTGCTGTTGTTCCCAGTTGCTTCCACTTTGTTATAAAATCACTAACAGTTGACCGTGGAATATTTAGTAGCAAGGAAATTTTCCGGATGGACTTATTGCACAGGTGGCAACCTATCACGGTACCACGCTTGAATTCACTGAGCTCCTGAGAGCGACCTATTCTTTCACACATGTTTGTAGAAGCAGTCTGCATGCCTAGGTGCTTGATTTTATACACCTGTGGTCATAGAGGTGATTGGTACACCTCAATCCACTGATTTGGAATGGTGTCCCAATTCTTTTGGTAATATAGTGTATATCATAGTTTGCAAGAGCTATAACTTGCATGCAAACCAATCAATATATTTATTGGGATTTTTTTTATCACAGACATGTAGTAGAATACATTTTGGTCAAAATTTATGAAGAAATTTAATATTAATTTTTTTTATTGGGTATATTTTAGAACAGAAAGTTAAAAAGTATTTTTTTTTCAAAATTTTCGGTCTTTTTTCTATTATATTGCAGAATATGAAAAAAACCCAGTGGTGATCAAATACCACCCAAAAAGCTCTATCTGAGAAAAAAAAAAAGATACAAATTTTGCTTGAATACGACATTGCATGACCACGCAATTACCAGTAGCGTAGTGCTAAATAACAAAAATGGCCTGGTCATGATAAACTCTTCCAGAGCTTAAGTGGTTAAATAAGTTGTTTTTTTTTTTTTTTTTTTAAATAAAGGGTCAAATGTCAGATTTGCTGACAATTCCAATTTACTCTCCAATAAATGATTCACCAGATTTTTTTAAACCACAGTTCTGATGTTCTTAATGATTTTCTGAAATATCCACTATGACAAATTTTTCTGGAGAATGATTACAAATATTTGCTCAGTCTTCACAAATATACTCCTACGCATTACAGAAAAAAAATCATAATAAAATGCAGGGAACCCGATGAAAGATTTATTATCAATTCTTGGTATTGAATCCATGAACACCTGCAGTTTTAGAATGCAGGCCCACTAGTTTATGTAATTAAAATAGTTTCCATTATCTCAGTAGGGTTTGCACCGGGACCCTTTAAGCTGCTTCCTCAACAGTTTTTCTGTCCTGCACCTCAATCAGTTTTTCATGTCCCAAGCTTTCAAGGCCCAGTTTGCATAACAGGTAGTAACAGGCATTTCCTCCTCCTGTATGGGGACATCCTGGCGCCCTCCAGTCTCTGTCCCTCGGCCCAGCGTTCAGATCAGACTGCAGCACAAAAAAAGGAAGCTAGGGGCAGGTTAAATATAGCACTGGGGAGTGTGCATGCTGCTGTGTGCCAGGGAGAGACAAAATAACAACACAGAGTGCTTCCTTCCCAATAAAAACAGGCAGAATAACCGCAGCCAAACGCAGAGAATAGACTGCTGGTGATCACCGCTTCTCAGCCCTGAGCTGTAGTCCTAGCATGAAATCATTCATAGATTCAAGGAACCTAAGGGTTCCAATGCTAAATGGACAGTGGGGGAGGCAGAAAATGGCACACAGAGTTGAGGTCACCAAAACGGTGCAGATGGAACAAAGACCAAATGGACCAATTTTTTTTTTTTTTTAAATGGTTGTAAATGCCTAAATTGTTTTTTGTTTTTTTCATCAACAAACATCTTATACGTACCTGCTATGTGCAATGGTTTTGCACACAGTATCCCCAATCCCCTTTCTTTGTGTCGTCCCCCGCTGAAACTCCTGCCCCCCCCCTCCCTCCCTTCCCCGTCAAGTGCAGGAACAGACCTTAGGCTCTCAGTCACAGGCTGTGTGCTGGAGCTCCCTCCCCTATCATCTTTTTATCTCTGGGGGTTTTTTTTACTAAAACCTGAGAATGCAAAATCAAGTGCAGCTCTGAATAGAAGCCAATCAACTTCCAGGTTTTATACTCTTACATTGTAAGCTGCAAGGAGCAGGGCCCTCCTAGCCCTCTTGTATTGAACTGTACTGTTGCTGTATTGTCTCCCGTTATATTATAATTATTATTATTATACAGTATTTATATAGCGCTAAAAGGTTTGCTCAGCACTGTACATTATAGTGGGGGACAGTACATGAGACAATACAGTAACAATACAATACACAAGGGGGCCAAGGGCCCTGCTCTTTTGAGCTTACAATCTAGGAGGGAGGGGATAGTGGTACAGGAGGAAGTGGCTGTGGGGGATGGAGTGGTAGGAGGAGATCGGCTGTTAGGTGAGGGCGGGGTAGGCTTCCCTGAAGAGATGGGTTTTCAGGGTGCGCCTAAAGGTGAGGAGGGTAGGTGACAGTCTGATGGATTGGGGTAGTGAGTTCCAGAGGATGGGGGAAGTCCTGGAGAAGTCCTGCAGTCGGGCGTGGGAGGTGGAGACCAGGGAGCTATAAAGTAGGCGGTCTTGTGAGGAGCGAAGATTACGGGTAGGGTGGTATTTGGGTATCAGGTCGGTGAGGTAGTTTGGGGTAGCGTTATGAATGGCTTTGTATGTCTGTGTTAGTAGTTTGAATTTAATGCGTTGGGCAATCGGGAGCCAGTGGAGGGAATGACAGAGGGGGGTGGCAGATGCGGAGCGGTTGGTAAGGTGGATGAGTCTGGCCGCTGAGTTCAGGATAGACTGAAGCGGGGATAGTCTGCGACGAGGTAGGCCGGTGAGAAGGGAGTTGCAGTAGTCCGGACGTGAGATAATAAGGGAGTGACGAGTAGTTTAGTAGTGTCTGGGATTAGGAACAAACGTATTTTGGAGATGTTGCGGAGGTGGAGCCTGCATGAGTTTGCCAACGATTGGGCATGTAAATATTGGATATTGTAAAGCAATGAGCAAACTGTTGGCGCTATATAAATCCTGTATAATAATAATAATAATTACCAAAGCTTAATTGTACAAGCCGACATTAAAAGCTGATTGGCTACCATGGAGAGCTGCACCAGATTCTGAGTGCACCAGTTTTAGTAACTCTATCCCTGGGTGTCAGGAAAACTTGTCAAAAGCGACTCATGCAGATAGCAAAGGAACAAGGTAGCAAACAGAGATGGCACATAGTGCTCTGGGTTGAGCAAGTACACACCATGGATATGCTTTGTTCATATTTCATGTCTGCGTTTTACAACCACTTTATTGTAATTAAAGTTTTCAGTCATTTTTCTCCTTTGCCTTCTTTTCTCAACGCTGTACACTTAAGTTCTTGCAGTCTGTGACAACCTTCCCTAAAATACCCTATCTTTGTGGCACACACAAAATACAATTATGAATTGTTGAGAAACCTAAAGAGGAGCTCTATTCATATTTGTGTTTATTAAAAGTCAGCAGCTACAAAAACTGTAGCTGCTTACGTTTAATAAACAGACACCCAACATGTTCTATGATCCAGCGATGTGCTCATCCAGGCTGTTTTTTCCATTGGGCTTCCGTCCTTGGTGCCGGCATATCAACTGTGGGCACCCGTCTGAGAGAGATTACGGCTTCACAGGGCCCACTGCACATGTGCAAGCCACGCTGTGAAGTGTGAATGGTCCCGCAGTCTTCTGGGACCTGTGACGTGCCCCAGATGAATGCGGGGAGGGAAGGAGGGAGGAGACCTTCCGCTTCCGATTGCCTAGTCAATCCAAGTAAAAGTGGGAACAGGTACCTGTCAAAACCAGGTGCCCGCTCCACTACCCACCCCCCAAAAAAGTGCCATTTGCTAAAGAGGAGTGGGAGGAGGCCTTAAAGCTGAACTTTGGGTGAAGCTCCGCTTTAAAGCTCACCTTAAGACAAGCATATCAACTACATTCATGATAACTATTTTCATTGTTAAAGGATTTGTAATTCTTGTCTAGTCAGTCCTGTAACACTGTCCACCCAGATTGTGACCTGAAGTTTCTCTACTTCAGTTACATCAGTGAACTCAAGTTCCGCCCTGTCCCTAGCCTGTAATTGGATAATGAAGAAGTTGCAGTACGCCGATGAACTCATCCAATTGCTTTTTTAACTCTAACCTTCTGTCAACATGTTCCTTGCCATAACATGTGCACTGCACACACCTGATTGGTCCCCAATGCAGGCCCTCCTCCTCCAAGTCAGAGATCTTCAGTACACAGCATTATAAGAGGCCCATACAAGATTAATTCAAGTGTTACCTTAAGCTGAGTCTAAAAATTAATGTAATGGCAACTTACCTACCTATTGACTGAGTCTAATTTTCATTGTGGCATTCTCTGCTCAGCCTCCTTTATTAACTACAGTGGGCAGTGTACTCAGAAGTAGGGAGTACACAATCAAAGTATATTTAGCTTTCATGCAAGTTGCTTTGTTGATAGAAATCATAGAATGTATTCAAAAAGTGAAAATCTAGCAAATAACATTTTTGTTTTAGTTAGTATGGCATCATGCTGGAAACTCTGGAAGACATTTGCTGCTAAAAAGGGTGTGGCCTGGAGTGGTGTTGGATCTGAGGAACTTCATAGGTCTAAGTGACATAGAGAACTTTCCACAGGATCGGGTCACTGTCAAAAGAAATGCAGACATGCCTTGAAAGGCTATGGCAGCTACACTTTCCTCTGCCAAGTCAGGTAATCACCTTCAAGTCAACCCCTAAAGAAAGATTTTTTTTTGTTATCATTTTCGTCTCCACAAAACGTATGCTGCTGTCTGTGACTCAATTTAGGGGATCACCCCCCCTAACTTCTAACACCAGAGAGACAGTGAACACAGGTATATAGAGTGAGAGTAGCAATTTATAGCTATTAAATCTGTCAAAGAAGATCAGCACCACTGTCAGGTTTTTACTGTTGTTTATGTCCCTTTTTGGGAAGACTGTCTCTCTATACTAGTGACCACGTGAGTTAAAGTGACAGGACCTCTTCCCAGCAGGAACCCAGACAACAATATCATTTTGACATTGGTTCTAACCCTTCTCTATTCTATAAAAAAACTCAAAACTCTACAATTAAGTCTTGAAATCTGTATGGGAATTCTAAAAAAAAAAAAAAAAAATCCAAAATATGAAAAGCTATATCTTGACTGACTGAGAAACATATGAATTGCAAATTAACCAGCATCATTTCTATCCCCTTGCAGGTTTTGTTCTGGTCATTGGATTGGTGACCTTCTACCGCATTGGCCCCCACACCAATTTATCTTGGTCTTGTTATCTAGACATCGGTGCTTGCCTTCTGGCCACTCTGGCAGCTGCTATCCTCATATGGAACATACTCCACCGGCGCGAGGACTGCATGGCTCCCCGTGTCATTGTCATCAGCCGTACACTGACTGCTCGTTTCCGCAGAGGACTAGACAACGATTACGTTGAGTCTCCATGCTGATGATAGCAATGAACGAGCATTGTCTGATGATAACAATTAATCTATATAACTTTATTCAAAAACATTCAATGAACGTGAAGTGCAAATGAATCCATGAGTGTTCACTAGATAAATCTGAGTCATTTTAATTAGCTATGTGAGAAGAACATAACACAAAGCCTGATTCTAAGATGGGGGCACACTCACATTATTTAAAGATGCTTTGCTCATGCAACCACCTATATAAAGTCGGACTCCATAGGAGTTATCGCTATTGGACTCATTTGGGATACAAGTAACAGCATTTTCCCAGCTTATGATTGGTACCTGGCGATGTTCAATATTGCATTTGCACATATCTTCTTGATCTGTCTTAAGATGGATATCCTCTATAATGGAGAGCATATTAACTCCACATTGTGCATTCCTTCAGTATCATTTATACTACAACAATTTGGCACTTTTTATGTCATAAACCTGTTAACATGGATTAGTAGAAACAGCAATCAACCAATAAAATGCTAACAAAAAAAGGTCCAAGCAACATTCTCAGTGAAAGAGAAGAGATGGAGCCTCCAGTCCTCCAGGAGAGTGGACAATACTTCGGAGACTAGAACGTCAGGGTTTTACAGAATGCTGAAAGGACTGTCTGATATGTACCAGTTTTATATTTCCTTAATGTATAAAAATAACCTATAACAAAATATTGCAATGTTTTTGTTATTTATCACATTTTTGTAAAGTTTATGTCTAACTAAAAGACCAGTTACGAGCACAAATGGGTTTTTTTTTTTACTCTCCAAGTTTGGAGTTTAAGTGGTACCATTGGAGTGATATGCAAAACTTTCTGCAGCGAATAAAGGCTTACACAGCACAGGATTCTATTACTCACACAGAAAAAGCTAAACTGAAGTGTAGCTATTCGTAAACTTAGAACAATCATAGCTGACACAAGATCAAAGGCAGAAGATCACAGACCTGTCCTGTCTTCATATACAGTAAGGTCCATAAATATTTGGACACAGGCACAATTTTAGATTTTTTCAGGTATTTACCAATACATATTCAAGCTCTAGTTATATAATGGATATGAGCTGAAAGTGCATACACTCAGGTTTAATTTGAGGGTATGTGCATCCAAATTGGAGGAAGTGTTTAAGAATTACATCTCTTAAGAGTAGCCATCCCCCTTTTTCAAGGGACGCAAAAGCTGTTTCATGGCCAGGTGTAGGCTACTCCTTTGTTATTCCTTCATTAAGCAGGTAAAAGGTCTGGAGTTGATTCTAAGTGTGGTATTTGTATTTGGGATCTATTGGTGAGAACCTACATCATGCGTTCAAAGGAGCTGTCCATGCAAGTGAAACAGGCCATTGTAAAGCTTCAAAAACCAAACAAATCCATCAGAGAGATAGCAGCAACATTAGGAGTGGCCAAATCAACAGTTTGGTACATTCAGGAAAGAAGAACGCACTGGTGAGCTTAGCAACATAAAAAGGCACGGATGTCCATAGAAAACAGTGGTGGATGATCACAGGATCCTCTCTATGATAAGAACCTCTCCAGGAGGTGGGTGTATCATTGTCAAAGTCTACAATAAAGAGAAGACTTGAGGAGAGCAAATACAGAGGGTTCACCACAAAGTGCAAACCTTTCATAAGCCTGAAGAATAGAAAAGCCAGATTAGACTTTTCCAAAAAACATCTAAAAAGCCAGACCAGTTCTGGAAAAGCATTCTTTGGATGAATGAAACTAAGATTAATCTTTACCAGAATGACAGGAAGAAAAAAGTGTGGAGAAGGCTTGGAACAGCTCATGATCCAAACCACACAACATCATCTGTAAAACATGGTGGAGGCGGTGTGATGGCATGGGCATGCATGGCTTCCAGTGGTACTATGTCATTAGTGTTTATTGATGATCTGACAGAAGATAGAAGCAGCTGGATGAATTCTGAAGTGTTTAGAGATATACTGCAGGCCTAGATTCAGCCAAATGCAACAAAGTTTATTGGACAGTGTTTCACAGTACAGATGGACAATGATCCAAAACACACTGCAACAGCAACCCAGGAGCTTTTGAAGGAAAAGAAGTGGAATGTTCTGCAATGGCCGAGTCAAGCACCTGATCTCAACCCAACTGAGCACACATTTCACTTGCTGAAGGCAAAACTAATGGCAGAAAGTCCCACAAACAAAGAACAACTGAAGACAGCTGCAATTACAGCCTGGCAAAGCATGAGAAAGGAGAAAATCCAGTTTTTGATAATATCCACGTGTTCCAGACTTCATGCAGTCATTGCCAGTAAAGGATTCTCAACAAAATATTAAAAATTAACATTTTATTTATGATTATATTAAATTGTCAAATTACTTTTGGTCCCTTGAAAAAGGGGGGATAGCTACTCTTCAGAACTGTAATTCCTAAGCCTTTCCTACAATTTGGGTGTACATACCCTCAAATTAAACTTTCAGCCCATATCCATTATATAACTATAGCTTGAATATGTGTTTTGGTAAATATCTGAAAAAATACTAAAACTGTGCCTGTGTCTAAATATATATGGACTTAACTGTATATCACTATAAAATCATTACAATCTATCTAATCATTACTACTTAATATTGCCAAAAATATTTTCCAGTTTGAATATAGAGTGGAGAAGAAGTCAACTTAGCTTTTTATTGGTGTCTATGTATCTCAGTTAGGAAGATTTACCATCACTATTTGCTTTCCCTCCAAGTGACAGTGAACATCAGGACAAAAAAGATAGGCAACATTCACCACAGAATGTGAGGCACAATCTCCCCAATTGGGACAGAAATTCTAACACTTCATCTTTCTATTCAAACCAAAAAAATACTTGTAAACTTCTTCTTAACTGATATAAAGCATTGCATCTACTCTTATTACGGAGGCAACATGGAAGTGGAAGTCTGGTCTAAACCTATCTTAAATCTGCTCCCAAACCCATTTTAACTCCTATTCTAAATACCCTGTAGTGGAAAGATGTATATACTTACCTTTTCTCAGGGTCCTCTGGTCCAGTGAATCTCCCTAAAATTGACACAGACTAAAGAAATATAGTGGGCAAGAGGAGGAACTTTGACATAGAATTAACCATTCCCTACTTTATCCAAAATGTAAAAAAAAGTTTTGGCTATACATTTACTTTATCTGTGTCACCTTCCATTATGCTTACAGGGGCAATCTCCACTCTGATAAATACAGTATGTTGCCTCCTCTCCTCATGGTGTCATTTGTGCAGGTAGTACCCACCACTCAGATAAATGTAGCATGTTCACAATCACCCTTGTTCACACAGTTATTAAGGGGCATTCTCCCCTAGTTCCTTAATAGAAGGACATTTCCAGCTCTTTATTTTGTGAGCACTTCCTAATTGGTGTGAAAACCTCTCCATTAAACCAGCAAATGGCATTTTACTGTAGATTTCCTTTAGAGATAATACAAGAGGGCATTTCCTTTGTCAGTGTGGAAGAACCGTTAGTCTTCTGTACAAGCAATGCCCAAAGAGGGGAAAGGTCAGGGTCATTTCCCCTTAATCCCAATAATGCTGAAATCATCATTCAAGTCGCTGCACAGCCTCCCAGAAAAATCATCTTTCAGTCCTATAGAGAGGTCACCTACTGTTGGGATACACAATAGACGGCTTTTTCATAGGAACAAAATGGAGATTTTCAGGACTTGCATAGAACAAAAAGCTGCCTTGCCAGGAGACTATGCAGTGGTGGCAGTGACGGTCTATGCAGGCTGCAGTGAAGGTATAGCAGGAGCAAGGGTAGATGTGTTCATGGGGAAAATGCTGGTAGCAAGGGAGTCAAATAAATAATGACTATGCTAAGGCTGCCCATAGATGGGTCATATTTTTCCCATTAGCCAAACAGATTTCCCCATCCACACAAGCGAAGTGGATCCTTCCAGCTGTCAGAATACAATAGCACAGTGGGGAGGATTCCTCTATCCACCTCACTTCCTCCTTCCTACACTCCTCTGCTGTCAGAATACACTGATCTGTGCTGCAGCCAACTGCCTGCAGCAGCTGATCGAATTAAAATTTTCGAACATTTCCACTCTAACAATCAACTTCTGTGGAGTGGAAATGGCCATAAATGAGCTGAAATTTGGTCAGTCTGTACTGAACCAGCCAATCTTTTAACCATCTTTGGCCAGTTTAAATGGACAGTTATCACTTAAACTTACTTCCCAGGTGTAAATTTGGACTGACCCATCAACACTCCCCACCCCCATCCCCCTTACAGCACTCCTCCCCTTGTTCCTAACCCATAGTACAATTTACAAATATGCAAAGGGCATCAAGTGACTTCTCCTCAAGCAGCCAAGCTTATGCGTTGTGTTTCATGGTTAATTCAAGGATTTGTGGGTATAAGATACCTACTTTTACAATTTGAAGTCTGATATTAGCACCAAAATGTATAACATCTTCAACGATGCAGCTCAATCCCACCAAATAATGTGACAGTCCTTAATTCAAAACAATATAATACTCATTCAGTATCCAATCAAACTGTATTTCCTCCACCATCATGATGTAATTTGTTTCTTCCTTCTCTTTTCTCAAGTTCTGTGACACATGCAAACACCCAGTGATAATATGCGCTCACCTTCACCTATCACTGGGTGTCTGCATGTATCACAAACCTTGAGATAAGAGGAATGAAGAGACAAATCACATCACAGTGGTGAAGGAAATACAGCTTTATTGGATACTGAAGGACTATTATATTGATTTGAATTAAGGACTGTCACATTATTTGTTGAGATTGCCCTGCATTGTGGAGAATGTTATACATTTTGTTGAAGTGTGGTGAAAAGCACTAGTTGATGTGTCAGCAGCAACATTTTTTTTTTTCTGATATTACAACCAAGCTAAAAATAGCAAACCGCTCTACCTTTTCTCTATAGTTATTAGGGAATACTCACATGTTACTGTTCTGGTACGTTACTTTAATGAAACACACAGATATACTGTAAATTAACCCCTAATGTTTGTATACAAAAGTCCAGTACAAAGCCATTCGTTTTGTATTTATAAAGGGAAAGCTATGCTGTAAAGGTGACCTGTAAGAGAAAAAAAATGTTTGTCTTACCTCTTAATGAGTTTGATTGATTTAAAGGCTTCATCCATGTCTCCCACAGTGAGGTAGAAGCTGAAGTTAAGCAGGGCATCCCGGGTTGCCTTTTCACAATCCTCCAACCCGATGAAATCTCGCAGGGGCTTCTTTGCCACCATATGGGGGATCCCTGGTGTGTCGTCTTCTCCAGGACAGATTTCTCATCCTCTTCTCCTGGCTGTGAATGTATGACATCAAAAGCAAATAAATACAAATCAAGTTTATACAGCTGCAAGGAAGAGGGAGGGGTTCCTAACATAAATCGGACATTAGTTAAACTTTAAAGCATACCTGTACTATAGCAATAAACATAAGGTCGACAGTAGGGTTGGTAGGCAAAATAATTTGTTCTTTCAATGATGGAAGTGGTTTTGTAATAGGGAAGTAACATATTTAAGGGATACCCAAGGTCTTTGAGCCTCCAGACTGTTTGTCTGATATGCTGGCAACTAGTAGTGTTAGTTACATTTAATTGGACTTCTGTAATGTACCTTCTAAGTTTCTCAGTTCCAATAAATGTCAGGAGAATGTCTACCAAGGCGATTTGCAAAGTCACACTTTCAGCTATGTAATGCAAGCAGTTGACACCTGTCCTAGACTTGTGCTTGGATTATTTAATTAGAACAGGGAGGTTTTACAGATTTTACCACCTCACATCTTGTTCTTGAACAATCAACATTTGCTGTGAAACATCCCATGGTGATTAGATCAAAGTGGAACTTTAACATAAAAAAATGCAAACTGGCAGGATTTTTAGTACAGAAGTGACATACTCTGGCGTTATTTACTAAAACTGGAGAGTGCAAAATCAGATGCAACTCAGCAAAGAAACCAATCAGCATCCAGGTGTTATTGCCAAAGCTTAATTGAACAAGCTGAGGTTAGAAGCTGATTGGCTACCATCCACAGCTACACCAGATTCTAATTGCACCAGTTTTAGTAAATCTACCCCTATGTCTCTTCTACATTAAAGTTACTTACCTGCCTGTCTGCATGCGCAGCTCAGTGTAAAGTCTTGGCAATGCCGAGGTGGCTAGACTCCTGCGCATGCATGAGAGTAATATCATCTTGGCCCAGCCAATGAAAATGGTTGGCGATTGATACCCAGAAGACACCAGACTGAAGATGTCAGCAGCTGGTGGGGAGCTCTTTAACAGCGCAGCACTAGGGAGAAGGTCAGTATAGTTCTATCTGAAGGTGACTAAGCTACGTGTGCAGCTAAAGATGCTGGGATATGCTACTAACACTAACAGGAGCTGTGAAAGTCGCTTAAATGAGTAGGGAAATGTCTTTAACATTACAGAACAAGGACAGCTGAGGGCCCATTTGAATTGTCGTGCTGTGGTAACACAAGTTAATGCAAGTTAAATGGTACCCAAGTGCACCACAACGCATGGTAACGCACCTCCATGAGGTACGATATTAGCTGCACTGTGGTGCATTGGCAATCAATTCAAATACAATGTGCATTATTGTGTGCTCATTAATGTAACGCAGCAGATATAGCTGAATAGACCTTAAATGTGACTAACCACTACTAGCTATACCATGAACTGGATAGATGAGAACTTAACAGACATGACCTGGCAGAACTTTTGGGTGGACTGTCCCTTTAATTCACAAAAACCATAACCATGATGATGTTAAAGAATAAGATCACCTTTGGAACATGTTACATGTTCCACCCATTTTTTATAGTGCAACATGTAACATATTCCAATGTCCACAGCCGCGCCCGTGCCCACCACCCGCCTCCCTCTGACAGATAGTATGGGGAGACTTCTCCCCGTACTGTCAGATTTGAAAACCGCGCGCTGGGTTCCGCCCACACGGCTGCATCACTCATTCACAGTGTTTTGTGAATGACTGCCTACAAGTCCCAACATCTTTAGCAGTTGTGGGCTTGTAGTTTTCAAAGGTAGTTCATTGAAGCTTCCTGTCAGTATATCTGCTTGCTTGTACATCCCGTATGGCAAGCAGATATTCTGACAGGTCTGCAGGAGACCTGCATGGCATCAGCGATCTACTGACCGCTGGTGCAATGCTTTACAGACTCCTTTGGACAAAAATAATAAATGCACATTTTCTTTTACCTGCAAAAAAGTCCAAAGGGTGAACATATCCTTTAAAGCATAAACTGAAAATAATGATAAAGGTTTGCAGAGATGACCTCTTTTATACTTACGACAGGCTGATATACACAGCCCCTCCGGAACAACAACTGAAGGCAAATGATGAAAAAACAAACATAAAATGAATATGAAGCAAATAATATAAGATAAAAGAAAAACACAAAAAAATGCTGACAAAAAACAAATTTTTTTTTAAACTAAAAGCATGCATAACAAATGAAACTCATACTTACACATTCAAAATAATAAAAATTGTGTTTTTTGGTTATTGACAGCACAAAGCACATGAATAACATGCATACAATGTGGTTGGTTTGATTTATTAAAGGAGTAGAAGCTGTTCATTTTGCAAAATAATAAAAAAATAAGGTGAACCTGTGTTTACTTTAAATATCTATTCATCCTTTTACTTAGCTTAGATTCAGTGTTTTAGGGAACCATCTTATTTCCTTAACCACTTGCCTACCCCCTTCTTTACAGGCCAATTTTCAGCTTTTAGCGCTGTTGCATTTTGATTGACAATTGCGCGGTCATGCAAGAGTGTACCCATATGAAAATTTTATCATTTTTTTCTCACAAATATAGCTTTCTTTTGGTGGTATTTAATTGCCGCTGGGCACTTTACTTTTTGCGCTATAAACAAAAAAAGTGCAAAACATTTGAAACAAAAAAAGTTTCTTTGTTTCTATTATAAAATTTTTCAAACAGGTAATTTGTCTCCTTCACTGATGTGCGTTGATGAAGCAGCACTGCTGGGCACTGATAGGCAGCACTGATGGGCACTGATAGGCGGCACTGATGGACAGCACTAATGAGGTGGCACGGATAGGCGGCACTGATAGGCAGCACTAATGAAGTGTCACGGATAGGTGGCACTGATAGACAGCACTGACTGGCATCACTGCTGGGCACTGACTGGCGGCACTGCTAGGCATTGACTGGCGCAACTGCTGGGCACTGACTGGCACAACCGCTGGGCACTGATTGGTGGCACTGACTGGCAGCACTGCTGGGCTGCACTGATGGGCACTGGTGGGTGGCACTGGTGGGCACAGGTGGGTGGCACTGCTGGGCACAGGTGGGTGGCACTGCTGGGTGGCGTAGGTGGGTGGCACTGCTGGGTGGCACAGGTGGGTGCACTGCTGGGCACAGGTGGGCGCACTGCTGGGCACAGGTGGGCGGAACTGGTGGGTGGCACTGCTGGGCACTGATCATCAGGGCACTGATCATCAGTGCCCTGATGATCGGTGCCGATCCCTGCTCTGACAACTGCCGGTTCTCGGCAGTACTTTCCTCACGCTCTGACAGCGTGAGGAAAATGCAGCCGAGAACTGGCAATTGCATTTCCCGGTGATCAGCGTGTCATTGGACACGGCTGACCATGTGGTAAAAGGCCGCTGTGATTGGCCTTTTACCACTTCACGTGATCAGCTGTGTCCTTAGGACACAGCGATCACGGAGATCGCCGGGTGCGCGCCCCCGAGGGCGAGCAGGAGAGCGCGTTCTGGGAGGACGTCATATGACGCCCTCCCAGAACTGGCCGGCCGCAGTGTAGCCTTCATTCGGCTAAGGGTTTGTTCGCACAAGTCTACACGCTAAAAGCTTGCAGCATAGTGTACACAAAGCATCACACTGTTTTTTTTTTTCAGGTATAAGACAATGCACTGCAACAATGACATATGTTGTGCTGTGTAAAAATGCAGGACACACTGCACCTCAACACAGTGTTATGGTGTGAACAAGGCAAACAGAAAAAAACTGTTCTCTATACGACACTGGGGTTTATTTACTAAAGCTAGAGAGTGCAAAATCAGGCTCACGTCTGCACAGAAATCAATCAGTTTACAGGTTTTATTGCAAAAGCTTAATTGAATAAGCTGAAGTTAGAAGCTGATTGGTTTCTATGCAGAAGTGAGCGTGATTTTGCACTTTCCAGCTTTAGTAAATAAACCCCATTGCGTTGAGCCTGCATTGATCTATGCAGGTGAATGTATCTCAACTTGTGTGAATGGTGTGAATCAGCCTTTAGTAAATCAACTCCATTACATTTAGACAAGGTTCAGGAAACTTAATGTAATGATTAAACAATACAGGGAGCTTCCCTGCATTAGCAGCCACATTTATTTGATAAGATGGCAGATTACGCACCTTCCTTGTGAAATAATAGTATGGAACTTCTATACCGAGAAGTGATTGGAAGGCTGCTGGCCTGGGGTAGCTTTCCTGAAGTAGCAGACCATGTTCTTGGGTGCTGAAAAATGACATGACCAGCACATCTTCCTGTAACGGCAGAAATAAACACTTAAGCAATCTCCCAATATCCACTGACAGGTGAATGTAAACATTATATCTGCTTGACTTGACTATTGATAAAACATTTCACTACATTTATAGTGTATTTTAAATTAATCTTAAAAGAAAATAAATAGGAAATTAAGGTTTATGGAATGAAGGATGCAATGGGGGACAGTTATCAAGCAAATTAGTGCCACAATTAGTTGCAAATCAGGCTGTGTCTCCTTCAGCAAATTCTCTGCAACAGGTTTACAGACCTGCGCACCTGCATCCCTGGGCAGCAAACTGTGACAGTTTACAAAATTCACTCTACTCTAAACAGGCACATAATTAAAAGGTGATCAGGGACAGGTTTCATTCAGTCATAAGCGTGATCAGCCAAAGGAGGACTCAGGCTGTAATCTTGTAATAAATCTGTCTCAAGATGTGCCTCACTACTCCTGTTTAGCATTGTTTAATCTTGCAACATGATTATTAAATACTCCCCAATGTGTATGTAATATAAACACTCATACAATCTGCATGACACACAGGTGGCACCAAACTCTTAGGGCCAGTTCACACTACATGCGTTTCGGTTGCTTTTTTTCTGCATGTAAAACACGCAGAAAGAAGGTTAGTAGGTTATATGGTTATATGTTTATATGGTTGTCAATGTCATAGTTCAGTGCTTACAGTTCCAGTGCATTCCGGTTGCAGAAAAAAAAGTAGAACAGGCTGCATTTTTCCTGCACAGAACTGTACTGGAACGAAGTAAAACGCATCAAAAAGGAACAAAAATGCACAAAAAAAAAAAAAAAAACGCCCTGGAACGCAAATGTACCTATTTAAATTGAAGAAAATGAGAGGGGAAAAAATTAACCAGAAAGCATCAAAAACACGCTGGAATGCACCAAAAATGCACTGGTAGGTGCCAAAAAAACGCATGAAGTAATGCATCCGTAACGCATCTGAACTGCGTTTCTATGGTGTGAACCGGCCCTTAATGTTCAGATCCTGCCAGCAACAGGATCACTAAATGACCATATACCTTTTGCTATGGAGTTGTTCCCTTGCTAGCTGAACCAGTGATCTGTTGTTCCCCCTATGCTAATCTTCTAATGAATGAGAATTGGCAGTGTTCTAGCCAACCAGGGAGTGATATACCATTAAGGTAAATGAAAACCTCTCATTGGTGATTCGTACAGGCAATGTATCACTAGCAGCAGAACTGCCAATGTGACCTTGCCTAAGGGTGACCACAAACAGGCAGAATACGTTTGCACACATTGTACCTTTCCATGAGAGACATCTACAAGCTGATTGTGTTTTGGGGATGGATGCAAGGAGTTTGGTATAGCCAACATTGCCTCACAAGCCAGGAGTCGTGGCTCACTCTGGTCCCAGAAGTGATTGATTGGGATCCGATCGAAAAGCTTGGACTTCTCTGGGAGATTCCTATTAGTACAAAAACATTGATGTAAAACTAGAAACATTTAAAGTGGATTTCCAGGTAATTTTTGGATAGAGTGGGGAAGAGTTATTATTATTATACAGTATTTATAAAGCGCCAATGGTTCGCTCAGCGATGTACATTACAAAGGGGGACAGAACATGTGACAGAACAATACCAATACAATGCAAAACATGAGGGGATCGAGGGCTCTGAGTTAGAACATTTGTACTGATATCTGTGTCTCATATCGGAAGATTTTCTCACATTTCCTGTCCTGGTGACAGCTGTTAATGATGGGATTTCTCCATATGTTCTTTTGTCATCAGGACAGGAAGAGAAAATAATCTCCTCTATGAGATACTGCTATAGAAACCTCACAGAATCTACCATTACACATTTGCCATTTAGGTCTGGTAAGCATAAAAGACACCTTTATATATAAAAACCTACTGAGAATATTTTTGGCTGCATATTTAACAGTTTTAAGAGACTTTTAAAACTAAGGAAGATATAATTGCAAGAGGCTTCTAGCAAGCCCCTTTAGCCTCAAATTAGCTGATAACATAAACTAACAGTCTGTTCTAAGCACTATATCAAACATATAAAAAAAAAAAAGGGCCTAATAAAAATGTTGTACATACGTATACGTATATTAATATATGGTCTTGGTAGGTCTTTCACATACATTTTTTTTCTCAGATTAGTTTTGAATTATTTTTATAAGGAACATCAGAATACACTGATGATCACTGCAGCTGATTGAGCAAAATTTTCCAACAGTCCCGTTCGACAGATGTCAATCATTAGATCAGCTTCCGTCAAGTGGGAACGACCATAGATGGATTGAAATTTGGACAGTCCCTGCTGAACCAGCCAAATTTCAATCTACCTCTGGCCAACGTTAATGCTTGTAATCACATATTACAAATACACAAGAAGCATTCAGACTTTTGCGATATGGGGCAAAAAACTGATGCATCTATCCTAAGTACAGAACAGTTCTTACGATTCTGGATTGGATGGAGTTGGTGAATCATCTTGATCTGCTTGTCCATTCCAAAAGTCAAAGAATGTTACTGTGTCAAGTTCAACATCATAGAAGTACATTTTGGAGTCCAAGTTGCCATCAGCCTAAAATAAGAAAATATCAATTTCCGATTTAGTATCAAGGAAAAGTGGACTTTGATTGGAAAAAAACCCCAAAATATCAAATGCTTTATGTGCGCCTATACATTTTATTTAGACATATACCATTTTAAAGGCTTTTATTAAACATTAAATATACTTTAATATTAATAATTATTTTATCCTTGCCTTCTATATGTTTTGATGCACCTAGAATGTATTTTGTGGATAACTGGGGGGCAGTAAAACCCCACAGTTGTGCTGTGTTTTTACCGCCCTTCAACAGCTCACTCTTTTGCTGCAGAGGCAGTGACCAAGAGTGTATACATGCTGTGGCAGCAATGCTTTGCTTCAAATCCGTGGCAGGAATTATACCCCCTGTTGGTACCGCTTCTTAGCACGGGATGTTCAAGTGAATGGGGACGCACTGCAAACAATAGCCACACTGGTGGTCACGGACAGTGAAAGTTAACCCACCCATCCCCCTTTCCTGCATTGGTGTTCATAGCAGTAAAAGTAAGACACACACACACACACTTGCGCGTGGTCATGGCCGTTAGCCCCTTCCCTCTCATTGGTGATCACTTACCTATCACATGCTCCTGCATCGCGCTCTCAGTCTCCCCAGGCCACTTTGTACCGTGATTGGAGAAAACTCTGCTCACAATACAGTCTCTCTTTCAGTGGAAAAAAAGAGTGTTCCAGCACCCAACACCCCGCTGCCACTCAGCTACCTATATGGTGCCCTAAAGCTAACAGGTCGCACACAGAAGGCTGGCAGGCCACGTGTTTGGCACTGGGGCCATTGATGGTTAGGCTTCAACACAACTGTGTAACAAAATGAAGTATTAAATGGTCATTTTGTGGTCAAAATTGTTTCTTCCATTTACAGAACTAAAGTTTATAAGTGATGCGTTTGTGTGCAGATTGTATTCCCTTTCTCATCAGAGAAAAAAAAAACAAAGAAAAATCTAGAGAAAATGGAAATAAGTAAATGTCAGGACAGAGGAAGAGAAAAGAAGAGAGGAGGTTAGAAGATAGTGGGAGATAGGGGGCGTCTCACTGAAATAAGCACCCCAAAAAGGCCATGATATTTGTCTTTTAATAATGATCTCAAATCTGTATACAATTCTCTATCTACGACGCCTTGTGGCATTACATGGATAAAAAGGTAAACCCAACCACTGACATCATTCAGTGTCATCACGGAAGTTTACAATTTAATGTCTCAAAAAAAATATAAGTACACATGATTTGGCCAGTTTTGTATGTAGGCCAGTTAAAGTACCAGAATGTTTTTGGATAGAGGGCTTCTACTGGACAATCAGGAGAAAACATATGCAAACATAAATCTGA